ATCAGCGGAGGAGGGCGACTTTATTGGACATGTTTCTATTTCCAAATCCGCATAACAGGCAACGATGCATGTATTTCCTATAATGTAGATAAGGGAGAGAGGGTTTGATATGTAATAAAAGGTGGGTCTGTGCTGCCTGTTTAAGCCCCTTAAGCCTGATAAATGATGAGCGACAGAGGCACAGCAAGAGGGTCACCGCTATTAACTCCTCGGTTTCCCGGCCTCCACTTAAACTTCTCTCAATTACATCTGGTAATGTGGCTGGATACGGGCCTTAAAGGCTTCGACCTGTACAATCTAACTTAAAAAAAAAAAAAAGAGAGAAGGGAAAAAAAAAAATCATACACAAATCTTCACAAACGCCTTTGTGAATCACTATAAGGCTGTCCCTTAAGCCACGTGTTAAGGGGGAAACACAGGGATTACAGTCTGTGGCGTTACTAACACATGCACACCAGGTATTCTGGGACAAACACCCAATGCAAGCTCATTAAATCAGCATTTGGTGTATCCGCACAGGCGTTAACGACGGGCTCTAATCTCGGCGGTGACCTGCTCAAACTGTGTCACAGCCGAGCAGAGCTGAGACTCTGCAGAGAGAGAGGCTGGGAGTTTTTATTTTATACCTGTTAGAGAAATGCACTCAGCTTTGATTTGTTTAGGGGAAACAACGCAAATAGTTTTTTTTAAATGTGAAATAGTTTAATCGACATGAAGAAGAATTTTAAAGAAGTTATTTCCCAGCGTTAATATTTTATTATAATTATGTTGATTACTTTGACGCGCTTTTTTTCGAATCAATTTAATTATTTTTTGCTTTTACGTTTTAAACTTAGCCTGAATTAGGTTTAATTTGTTTATTTTTTATTATTTTAACATGCAATAACGCGAATAAAAGCAGAAAATAAAAGTCGTCCGGATGATATGAATATTAAAATAATAACAGGCCTATAAACAGCAATGTGTGTTTTAGATATAAAGCTGCGCATTACATACCTTTTTTTAATGTAACTGATTTGGATTCAAATGAAGGCCGACTGACATTTAAAATAAGATGAAAAATCACATAAATTCCCAAATTCAAAATAATGCCTGCGCACGTAATTAAAGACAAAAGTAAGACTAATAAAGGCCACGTTTTTGTAGTTTGTCTGACACAAGTCACAATCGTGTAACAGCATCAGATGTGAAGGGTGTGAACAGTTGCACCGAATTTATGGTCAAAGCTCTGCCAGCAAATGAATTAAATATTATAAGAAACAAATGCAATGGACGGTCGATTGAGACAAAACTCACTGAAACAAAATCTGCATTTTTTAAATATTCATATTTTAGATTTAGACCTACGTTTCTGTGATGTGAGAAATTAATCATGATATAGCAGTCCTTTTTTATTCTAATTTAAAAACACGATTTTGATTAGTGTGTGTGTGTAGATCTGGTACAAAATCGAATCAATATTTATTTTTGTTTTATTTTATGGGCCTTCTCTTATTTGTTGCAAAGCTCTCGACAGCCCGGCACCCGCCGCGGCCGCCAGGTGTCGCTACATGGCCGCATATTTTCTAGCGAGCCTATGAAGGGAAAAGCCACAGTTACATTTTGTGCTGGCCTCCCCTCTCCCTCCCTCCCTCCCTCCCTCCTCCCCATACTAACCCTCTGACACCAGACTCTGAGAATCGGTGGAGGAGAAAATGAGGCTTTGGAGCTGAAGAATTTACAGTTAGTCGCGAAACTTTTACAAGTATTTGAGTTGCTCACTCCACTTTCTGAAACCCTATAGTCACATTTCACTCCGGGGTCAAAAAGAGTTCAGATTCAGATGACTGAGGTTAATGCTTTCTGCAAGAGGAAAACACTGAGGGGCCAAATTATTATAAACATATCACAAACAATATCACCTGGTGAAAAAAACAAAGATGTCGGCAAATGGGAAAAATCTAATGTTTGTGAAGAGGATTAAGAAATAAAAATCCGTTGCCTTCTTCAAGTTTGGAACCACGGGGTCAACGCAAAGCCGCATTACTTTAATTCAGTGCAAAAAAAAATAAACTTTTAAGTGAAATGATGCATCAGCAGCTGCATTTTATTTATTTATTTTAAATGGACAGGCTGCACGTTTTTTTTTTCCTTTTTTGTACTTCCCGAGCCTAGCCAGTAGTCAGTCTATGATCCAGTCTTATCTCGGCGCCTCTATACATTAGCTTAGCTGATTTACATAATCTCAAACACTGAAGAGGGCCAAAGAAGAACAAAGTTACAAACAAGATTAGGGCGATTTTATTTGTTCCTGCAGTTGAGCGCCAATTGTTTCTCCAGGAGTGTTTAAGGTCACTAAGAGGATTTGAAGCCCGTTTCATATCAGTGATCTTTTTGAGGGAATTAAATCAACAATGCATTTCTCTCCATATTTAGCAACAGGCTTGTGTGCGTGTGTGTGTGTGTGTGTGTGTGTGTGTGTGTGAACAACCGAGCCCTGCAGGGCAAGAGAGAGCGAGAGAGAGAGGGGGAGAGAGGGATTGTAAGTCCTGCAAAGAGTAAACAGAGGAGTGGAAGTTCAGTGCTGGAGCTCGGTCGCATGCAGGCGGTCCTGGTGCACCTTTTAGGATGTGACATGCAGTGGATCTTTAGCTCGGTGATTGTCCCAGTAGTGTTTTCCTTGAAATGGATCCTCTTCCCCCCCTAATGAATCCAAACGCAGCTGGCCATGTCCCACACGGACACCGAGAGCTTTAACCCTAAACTGACCTCAATTTGACACCACCAGATGAAATTTAACCGCCTGTTAATGCCATCCACTGATTTTTCTTTTTCTCTTTTTCATACACGTAAGAGTTGAGCGTGCACCTGAAAAATGGGTCGCAACGTGGAAGCCACTTGTAAGAAACATAAAACTACTTAAAAAGTGTAATTGTCTGTGATAGGTGTCCTCCTGGAATTGTCTGGCTTGTAAACGCGGTCAGGTTATAAGCAGGGGAGTTTAAGTTGGCACAGGTCTTGTTTATGAGGAAAATTAATTTTAATTACCTATTGAGTGAATGATGATTAAAATAAAATTAGAAAATGAAACACCGGCTTGTGTAATGTCGCATCAGACGCTGTTATTAAGCGAAATTAACCCATTTCACAACCTATGTTGTTAATGATGATGTCTCGTGTTTATGGCTTCCATTAATTACTCAAATAAATAGTTCACAAAAGAAGTACTTTAAATTTCCACGTCGTTGGGAGTCGTTGCTGGAAGTTTTATAGGGAAGGATGTGTTTCTGTGGAGCCGTACATTGGACACGCATAATTAGCCTCTGCTATTTTCACACGCTCTTCGGGTGTTTACATCACTCTCCTCGGGGGCAAATCACATATTTTCACAATAAATGTGGAAAAATGCGGTAAAAATGGCTAGATCTTGAAGTATGTATATTTAAAATTTCGCCGCGGCGCTCGGGTTTTCAGGGCACGCTGTGCGCTTTAACGGCAGATTAAACATGAATATATATTCTGCATTATTTTTTTTTTTTTGTAGTCCAGCCTCAAAACTTCCTACTTTACTGCGCCGCGAAAAGGACGCGCGTTCACAATACAGCGGTAGAGACAGTATAAGGTTTATGCTACTTACCGTGCTTGTCCAAAGGAGGAGGATGGAAGAAAAAAAAAAAAAGTCAAGCAGTTAGTGCACAAATCAATGTGAACGATAGTATTTAGCTTATGAAAATATCAGTCTTCAATAGCAGAGTCTGCCGGGCTGGTTGTGTTTACAGAGTGTAAGAGAGACTTGGAGACGGTGAATGCCTTGGCTCTCTGCGCACCGCTCTGCAGCTCCTTCCCGGGTATTGCACGTTGAAATGTCCACACAGCCGTTTGTCAAACCCTGCAGTCCTACACTTCCCACCCCCCTTTATGCCAACAAACATAACTGTTGTCACGGTTTCATTTATTAAATCTTTTTCCTTAAAAAAAACCAAAAACCCTTTGCTTTTTCTGTAATCGACCCTGAGCAACTCTGCTTTGGTATTTTGTTTGTTGGGAGAGTTTATTGACCCTCCAACAGTAGCCACAGCCCATCTCCCTGAGCGTGTGTCTACCTTAATCCTAACCTGTGAATAATTAATTTCCACCATCAAAAATGTCACGGAGCCATAAATGGAGCCTTTATGTGAGAACCTGTCAATACAGCCATGATGCCATATTAGCATTGATGGAGCTAAATATTAAAGGGGATAGATGGCCTGCTTCTGTGTTGTGCGTAAAAGTGCCCAGGCTCCAAAAAGGGCTTCACTGCAATCGATGGCCGGAGCGTTGCTCCTCCTCTAAACTTCAATCTCCTCACATGATTGATGATCTTGGGGAGCTTTGATAATTGACTACTCTGAGGTAAGGCACGGATTTCTATCAAGAGAGGGGATTGGACGAAAGAAACATACAAAATTACTTTCTCCACAAAAGCTTTTTTTCCCCCCTCTTGGAAAAGTTCATTCTGGGCTTAGAGGGGTGCTGCGTATCGTTTAATTTGCTAAAAAAGACCAGAGCAATAATTAGCTGTAAGATTAGGAGGCATTACTGAGATATTAGGCACACCCGCTTATAACCACAAAACAGATAACAAGTAAGCGTCATGCTCATATATTAAACTCAGCATTCATAAAATGTCCTGATCATTTTTTGCTGAATATGCTTCATAATATCTTTTGTCTAACTTATACCACTGACTCTAAGGATAAATAAAATATTGTTTATCTGTGCGTAAAAGTGTGGATGCGTCATGCGTAATTCTGTATAAAAATGAACTTGAAAATGAAAAAAAACTCTAAATCACGATTGATGTAGTTTAATTCAGTCCATGTTGTGTGTATTTCAACTCAGAGGAGTTGCAGCCGAAGTGTCCGCGCATGGTAAACCTCCCTCATTCAGCCTTTTCTGCTTTTTTTTCTTTAGGACTCTTCTCTGCGAAAAGGAATTGGGTGGGAGTTGGAGCTGTGTTGGTTTGGCTTTTACCCCCAGTGTGGAGTTGAAGCCGTCCCTGTGCCTCGCATATACTCTGCATATCACAAGATTTGGTCTCTCCTCTCTCTTTTCTGGAGCTGCTGTAGGACTGGCTATGGCCACCACTACTTCCGGGATCCGTCATTTCATTCGCCCACCGCTCAGCGCTGCGAACTGACTCTGTTTCTATAAGCAAGCTAGCAGCCAACCTGCCAACACTCGCTGACACTCACTCATCTCAGTTTCGCCAGATAGACGAAATACCTACGGGGGAAAGAAAGGAAAGATCTGAATCGCAGTCTCTTAATTTCTACTGCTTTTTTTCTTTTTTACAGTGATAATAAAACGAGATAGCGATCTGGAGGCATTAAAGGAGACGCGGACTTGCGGGATGAAAACGGACTAAAAAGATTCGTCCTTCTCTTGAACATCATCACCAACCGTCATTCATTCATTACCTTGACAACCTCTGGCTTTGATTGACAGCTGGAGTGGCAAAAAGCCATGAGACACGACAGTTTAGTTACATGCAGGTTGTTGATGGGCCGATTGTAACCTTCACTTTGGCGCATTTTTTTCTTTTTTTTCCGAGGAAAGAGGGAAAACAAGAAAAATTGCAAAACTCCCCGATGCTACGATTTCAACTGAACCACACTGGCGAATAGGAGAAGTCGCAAAGTTGGTTGAAAAAGGGATCTTGCCACTAAATCACTTTCTAACCGGGACTGGGATATTAAATATACGACAGATTCAGGAGTTTATTGGAGCGCAGCCTGATGGCGCAAAGGGTAGGTTTTAAATCTCCTACACTTACCTGTTCAAATCCACTGTAGGGAGGCCCCTCGTATCGATAACCTCTTGTCGGGTGGTGGCAAATTTACAAAGTATTCATATCAAAGCCGCTATATTTGACATTTTTGCAGCGCCCCTGCTCTTCAAGCAAAGTGACAGCCTCTGCTTTTACCGACAGCCTCCACGACAGTCGTGGAGCAGTTTCACAGGAGACTCCAAACTAATTCGCTCTTTCCACCCACCAAACTTCTCTTTCGCGGAGCACCTAAGTTATAATGTTTTTGGTAATGACAGACCGTTTAACAGATATAATATATGACACTTTTCTGCCCTGGCTGCGGCGCATTTTCAAAGCAACAGCTTTATTCAGTGTTCTCCGTTGCGTATTCGCAATGAGACGGGCATGCCTTTTTGTGCTTTTCCACATTTGTTTAAAAAAAGTAACCGGGCAGTCCGCTGACTTTTGCTCTGATTTCATTCCCAGTACGATGAGCTGGCCCATTACGGTGGGATGGACGGAGTCACGGCGTCGATGTACGGGGACCCGCATGCTCCCCGGCCGCTTCCCCAGGTCCACCACCTGAACCACGGACCGCCGCTGCACGCCAGCCAGCACTACGGAGCCCACGCTCCTCATCCAAACGTTATGCCCACCAGCATGGGCTCTGCTGTCAACGACGTTTTAAAGAGGGATAAAGATCAAATTTATGGGTAAGGTTTGCATGAACCAAATAGGCGTGCATTTCAATTTATTTATTTTTTTACTAAGTTTTCAGCTTTTTCTGTGAGTTTTAGTTTTTCTTGGAGTTTCTCTCCCACCACTAAATTTAAATAGTGTTTTGTGCAAGACTGACCGCAATTTTGGAGCTCCATTGTTGGTCAGGGGAGTTTTGTTGATGTGTAATTTTAGACGCATTGTAGAAGGCATCATCGAGCCTGCAGTAAGTAAGAGTAAGCCTCGAGCTTGAAACACAAGCTATAAAATAATATGGAAGCTCTCTGTTGCATAGTCCAAGCCCGAAAGTCCCAGACTGCATGGGAATAGAATAAAATAACTATTTCCAACATCACAACAATTGTCCCGTGTAATAAAGTGTGCTTTAATATTCCTCCCCACTATTATTTGTCTGTCTTTAAAAATAGTCTGGACTCGTGTAAACGTTGTCCTTGCTGCCTGCAAAAAAACTTCTCAAATGTTTTCAAATATTGTTTGCAGTGACACCGACACACAGAGCGCGTTACAACGCACCGTGTGTCCTTCTTATAATTCTACTTTTGCCAGGTTATGTACTAATAATGGAAGAAAGCGCATTTAGACGATCTTACCGGTGACTGCAAAACTTTAAAAATGTTTCCAGATATTTCTCACTAACACACGCACGCAGAAAGTGCTATAATCCACAGTGTATCATTCTAATCTGGGATGTAGTGCAGAGTAAATCCTCTTCATCTCTTTTATTCACGTTTTCACATGCGAAATTGAGTTTACCTCCATTTTTTTTTATTTATCGTGACACAAAATCTAAATGGCAGAAAATAAGAAACTGCTGGCAGTTGTGTGAAGTTAACGTTTGTTCTAGAAAGGGGCATTTTTGTCTGAAATTATAATTTAGTGTGAAAAAAAATATTTACGGGACTGTCTCGGGATGTTCAGTGAATGGAGGTTAAAACTTAAAACCATTTTTTATTCACCTCTGCCTCACTTTTAACGCTATAGTTCTAATAAGGAATAAATAGTGAAACCCTTGGTGCCTCAGTGTGTCTGCTGTGTAACTCTGCAGAATTATTATTTCACTCTAAGTTTTTTTGCAGACTGTATAAATTCTCTAAAAATCCCACTGATCACTCTAGTGTGTGCCTGTCTTGTTTTTCTTTTTGTTGTTGTTTTGTTGACTTCTCAGCCGGTTTTAGTTTGCACTGCAAGAAATGTCAGTCTCAAGTCGATTAATATCACATTGAGTCTAAAATCCTCAGATTTCCCAAAACCATAAGTAAAATATTCCAGATGCGCATTTACCCATTCTTCCAAATCAAAACAGCTCCTAGAAACGACCATCTTTGAATTCAGATGTATTGTTTTATTTGTTGTCTTCCCTATTTTACCAAATGCGCTTGTTTTAAGGAAAGTGTGTGAAAACTATACAGTAAAATTATTTCATCCCTCTGTGTTATATTTTCCAGTTGCTATGAGGAAAAGTAATAATTGTAGGTGCAGGGAGCCGACAGATAGGCAGGTTGATTGGACATTTTTTGCAGTGGGCATTGTGGAGCCGGTGTGCTGCTTGTACTCAGGCTGTGTTTCCCTCTTGCAGTCACCCTTTATTCCCACTGCTCGCACTGGTTTTTGAGAAGTGCGAGTTGGCGACGTGTACTCCGAGGGAGCCCGGCGTAGCAGGCGGCGATGTCTGCTCATCAGACTCCTTCAATGAGGACATTGCAGTCTTTGCCAAACAGGTCAATTTCGAAATATTAAAAAAAATAATATTTTGGATTGTTGTGGTTGCGTCATAGGCACATAGTTTTCTGCCTGCTTCATATATATATATTTTTCTTCTTATTGGAATAAAACTTTATCTTGATGTGATTAAAGAATAGTGTAATTCTGTGCAGAATTTCCACTTAGCACTAAAGTTGTAGTTGCATTATCAGGTTACATTTCAGGATAGAAATAGACACACATTCCGCACATTTCATGCCAAACTAACTTTGACATTTGGTGTATTATTTTAGGTCCGAGCAGAAAAACCTTTATTTTCATCAAATCCAGAGTTGGACAATTTGGTAAGCGCACACTTTGACCTCTTCTGTCTCTTAATAATTGCCGCTTCGGTGCGGTCATACTGTGCCTTGTGTTTTTTTGGGGTGGTGGTGGGGTGGTGATACTTTGGAGTGTCCGCAGCCTCACACAGTAAATATGTGAACATATGATTTAAACTTCCGCAGAGATGTCAGATCAGTTTGGAAGTGAAGCTGTGTGACCACATTGGCCGCTGTCATTGTTCAGTCTCCCCATCCAACTCACCCAGCTGACCAGTGTGCGATGGCCAATTAGATTGTGAAATGCAGCTTCCTTTTTTTACTGTTAAAAAATATTTTGCTGGCTGCAGTGCACTCCATAGTGTCATGGCGGGCGGATTATCTAACTAGCCTCAAAAAAGTGTCAAATAAATATATAAATATTGATCCTGTAATTATTGTGATGTGAATTGTGTTTATTTTGCTCATTTTCTTTCAGATGATACAAGCCATACAAGTATTACGGTTTCACCTCTTGGAATTAGAAAAGGTAAATATTCTAAATCTTTGTATTTTAGCCTTCTCTTATCTGCAAACGCATGACGCCACCTGCACAAACAGCCTGTAGGCCTATTTTAATGTAACTGATATTATTAAACGCGCAGAGCTGTAGTTATTAGCAGATGTTGGTGGAAAAATAAACCGGCATGCATTTGGAGAAAGTTTCAGGTGTTTCATTTTCATAAAAATATGCTATTTTATTTAGCCAACCATTTGTGTGACTATTGATAAAATACGTTTGAGCCTCTTTGCTCATGTTGCACATTGTTATCGATCCGCAGATTTAGTTTCAACTGCTCATTATTCTCCCCCCCGCCCCCCACTCCCAACCACACACACGACACAGCACAGACACCCGGGCCCTCCCCCCCAACCTCACGGCATGCTGTTTATTTTTTTGTCGTTCAACTTGTTGCTCCAGTCTCAGGAGAATAATAAGCACTGCAACAATTTCACTATTGTTTCCTCGCCGCCGATAATGCCCTCTTAATTGGAGTTATTCTTGGACTGGCTAAAGCGTTTCCCCATCCTGATAAAAAGGTGTTTTCTTCCTTTTTTTTTCTATAGGTGCACGAGCTCTGCGACAATTTTTGCCACCGGTACATCAGTTGTTTGAAAGGAAAAATGCCAATAGATCTAGTTATTGACGAAAGGGATGGCAGCTCAAAATCAGATCACGAAGAACTCTCGGGATCGTCGACTAACCTCGCAGATCACGTGAGTAACGCCACCTTTATTACATTCATAAGATGTGATGTGTTTTTGTTTGCACGCGTCTCTGCTGCTGACAGAGAACACCCCAGCATTTCTATTTTATTTTTTGTTCTAAATGACTTTGCATATGAATAATCGGCTGTTTTTAAATAATCAGATTAGTCTGATGTTTCCCATAATGCCAACTTTTGTGCTACTTAGCCTCTGCTCAGTGTGTGACCCTGCTGTGCCATCAGTAAATAGAGCATGCTCTGTTCTGCAAGGAAAAAATCTGCCGATCGATGTTCTAAGGTCAAAAGCTAGATGTGATACAATAGACTGAGTTATTGTTTTAGTCTTTTGATTAGGGGCAGTCATGTGTGCATAATGCGTCCGTGCTTGCTTGTGTGCTGGAGATTTGTGTGTGTGTGTGTGTGTGTGTGTGTGCGCGCATTAGAGGTTGTGCGTGCGCGTGTGTAAATCGCTGCCGTGCATTATGGAGAGTTGCATGCTGGAAAAAAAAGAATAAAAAAAAAACGTGAGGCAATTATCTGTTACGTAGGTTTAACGTTAAAGCAGGGTGTCAGCGGTAAGCTTTAGCTTTAGGCCAATATTTAAAAAGAATAGGGCTTTATATTTGGGGCTGTGGGAGCTGGATATGGCCTGTGCGTAAAGCTGTGGATTTTTTTGCTGCAGAGGTGGAGAAAGTGGTAGCCTATTGAAATAGATCTCAGAGCTAAAGGCTTACCATCAATGTCAAGTTCACAAGGCATATGATGGTTCGTCTGGAGGCCTTCCATTGCTGTTGATGTTAATGTGTTTAATTGTTTCGTATTGATTGCCGTGTGGTTTGCTCTGCATTGGCTTTCTCCTCTGCTCCCCATTTTATGGCTGGAGGCTCCATAATGCTGAATTCAATTATATGCACCTGAAGTACAGTAGCTTTAAATTTGAAGATCGATTCCCTGGTTTAAATCGTGCATTTTCGGTGTAATAAACACAGCCCACCCCCCTCCCTCCCCGACCCCCCCGCAATATGGATTGAGCTGACAGTGTATTATTGAGTTGATATCTGTGAATTATTGCGTCTTGCTTTCCTGTGATAAAGCTAATGTTTTGATGGAAAAAAAACCCCGGACTGTTGCAACAAAGTGACTGGTTAATATCTGTGCAGCACAAGGGCCAAGCCTATTAGGAATTAAAGCAGATTTAAGTGTTATGCAAAGTCACTGCGCTGCATCTGTTGGGTCTGGCTATAGGCCTAATAGCGGTGGATTCCCTTTTGAAAGCCCGTCGCCTTCACAGGGCCACGCAGCGCACCGCACAAGGTGAATTAAAACGTAATTAGGCCGAAGATGCCGATGTTGGTTTGAGAAACGGTCAAAACGGCAATATTGTGGTCCTCCAACACAAGTGTAGAAATGAGGCATGCTGTTGTTTATATTGCAGAGATTAGATAAACTAGCCTGTTTAGTTTCATGGCAGATGGTTGATACTCAAGCCAATTTCCAATGGTGCCTCCAGTGCTCAGACACCAGCTTTGTCATCAGTCCACTTGTGAGAAATATTTTGATAATTAGAAAATTAGATATGCCAATAAAGCAAATCAGGAGCAGCAATAAACAAAGAAGGTTGCATGGCAAGCCATTTATCTCAGAGTCATTTGGACTGACCACCTCATTAGGTATTTAAGTTTTGAGGCATTTATTTCACTTTTGTGACACCAATGAACTTTTTATTATAGCTAACTGCTGGGCTGAATTTGACAAGTTGTTTTTCCCTTGTTCTCTGTCTGAGCTGATTGCTACATGTTGTGGAAATATACACACTCCTGCTTATAGTTATTTTTTTATAAATAAAAATGCAGTGGCTTATTTTTGTACTGCGTGTGAGAGCATGTGTGGACCTTCTGATGTGTTAGTGGAAATATTATTTGCGGGAATTGAAACTATTGAGGTAAATGTCTACAGTGCAGTCATGATCTAAAAGCCCTGTAGTAAATAGTTAACTTCTTCAGCAGTAATTTCCATGTCTAATTGAAAGGAGTCCAGCTCTTCATGCCTAAAATGTGCTTTGAATATTGGAAACAATGCACAAAAAATGCATTTGGCTGCAAAACCATGCCACTGGATGGAAAGCAATTTCTGTCCTACTTGTCTTGATTTATTTATTGTATTTATTCATTTGTATTTGGCTCTATTTTATTATTCATTTCTGTCCTCGCTTCCCATTGAGGAGAGGAAGGCAGTTTGATAGTTAGATATGCTAATTTATTTAGTTAGAATCTCTCACGTCCATTTTTCTTTGCTTTGATATGCATTTTTAATATATAGCCCTGGGCTACATCTCATTTGGTGAAAGTAGATTTTTCTGGAGATGATGAGGCTCTTCACTGTGAAGGAGGCGGCCCATTGAGCTTGTTTTTATGTATGCTGTGTGTATACAGTATGTATGTGTGTTTCCTTCCTTTTCTACCTCTTTCTGTTTTCCTCCTCTCCCCTCCCCGTACCTGACAGCGGAGCATAATAAGCACAGTTTTATTTACACTTGAATGCAGCATTGTCTTAGAGATGATTGGATTATGGTATAGTGAGAGCGGGATGAGTCCTTGCTGACACTGTTGATTTCACTTATTCGCTTGCGGTGACTATGTAGCCCACCCAAGTCTTCCTAACTCATCGCCCCTCCTCAGATCAACCCCATCCCAATTAAAAGAAAGGAAAAAAAGATATTGTATTACACATGAAGGGTGATGAGGAATAAGAAAAAAAACACAGAGTGGTGTAGATTTGTAAACGGTTGGTACAGTGTGTGTGTGCTTGTCAATGGTCTGCTCTCTTGTCTTTTAATTAATGAATAAAATTTCTGTCTCTTCTGTGCTACATCCAATTAGAGAGGCAAATAGAATTAATAGTGTCTGAATATTATCTGTTCTAATGAATTAGCCTTTGTGTCTTCTCGTGCTATTGTGCTGCTTCCTCAGTGAAGCTTACATATTAGCAGAAGGCTTTTCATTTCCTCCATGCATATGCATTACACTTTTGAAACTGTCTTTGAATTTCTGCATAGTTTCAGATTTGTTACACAGAAAGTCTGTTGGATTTGCAGGTCCCGACGCTTTGTTTTGGAGAGCTTTCCTCAGGGAGTGATAGTAGTTCCCATAGAGGTTATGGCGTAGCTTATCTTGACTCTGCATGGCTGGAAAGGGAAAAAGGGAAAAAAAGCTTTCTCTGTTTACATTTGATTCTCTGGTACAAGCTCTGAGCGCTGTAGGCCATTGGTCAGACATGGTGATGTCACAGGTTCAGTCAAGTAATGCAATAGTTCATCTTGTGGCCATGCAGTGATTTACTGTGTTTATCAGTGGAGATGGGTGCTCAGTAATGTCCTGTTTCTGTATGTCACTATGCATGCTGCAGTGCATACACAGCCCTCTGTCTCAACTCTCTGCCTGTGGACAGCGAGCCCTCGGGCAGAGCCGGCCTGCTGAACCGTTGAATTTCTCAGTTTTGGAGGTGTACTAATTCAACTAGCTTTGTTCTCCTCGGGGACAGAGTACGTTTGGATCTCTCCCGCTTTTCCTGATGAAAACAGTGCAGCATTGACTTGGGCCATTCTGTCTGTTCCACACACTTGTTTTGTGATGGTGAGATGTCTGGCCTAACATTTCCTATTTGATTAGTGTTCAGAGGCAGGGCCCTGTTGGCAGGCATATCTAATCATCGCTACCATGGCTGGAGAGAGGCTAAGCTCACTTGTTGCATCTCCCACACTCTCCTTTCTTTAACTGCATGTACACTCTAAATGACTGCAATAAAAAGCAGTTGCTGCGCAGTCATTTTAGGGTCATGTCATGCATGTATGCTGACTTGTGTTCAGATACAACATACAGTTAAAGTTAATAGTACAAACATACACTCAAATGCCACTTTATTAGTTGTACTCTACAATCTGAATCTTGAAAATTCAATACAACGTCTTTGTCAGTTCTGGTTGATATTGTCAGAAATGTGTAAATTCAATTATATGTTTATTACTGAGGTCATAGTTAAAGGTGGTGTTGTACTGGACTACATTATATTGATTTTTTTTTACCTTCCCATTTACATACACGAGAGGGGGCAGAATAGAAACACCACCAAATATAGAGCAAAACAATACTACCTTTAACTATGACCTTAATTCTAAAACATCTACTTGAATAAACACCTCTGTGAGTGTCAACAAAAAAACAGAATATTATACAGTTGGCATCATAACAATAGACTTTATGGCAGAACAGCAATAGTTTGTACAGGTGTACAGTGGGCACTGAGTATATATTTACATACTAATTTGAAAGCCCATAAATTTTAGGGTTATTTGTTACAAGGAATAACTGAAATTAAAATGATCTATAATGACTTGTTTGTTTTATATTAATGCCATTTCATATTTTGGAAAAAGCTCTTTTCATGTGTGCCAAATCCATGAATCACAATAGCAGTCACAATTTTTATTTAATAGTTTTTTTCTGAAGACATATATGTACATGTAATCTGCCATTTACTACAATGAAAAAGGTTGTTTTTGCCCCAGAGAAAGTTTTGAAGCATAAATACAATCAGTCAATCTCTCGTGTCTGTTAAAACACGCTCCGGTGAATTGTTAGCTGCTAAATTAAGGACTCTTTATATTCTGGATAATTGAGGGTGTTGTAAATACTCAGTTGTTCAATGGAAGTGCACCTACACTTCTGTAAAGTGGCTGTATATAATTACATGCCCAACCCAACAAAAATGTGTGAAGAGTTTTTCTCTGTTTATACCATGTGGCAAGATGTGTCTTGAAATGTCAGCTCGCTTTATGATTTACGGTCCTGTATGTTTCTGGTGTCTCAGCGATTCTGTACATGTTCAGCACAGGATCCCTGAAGCTGCTCTTTACAGTGGCTCTACAACACACACACGCACACACACACACACACGCAGGGCTAGTCGTTCTCAGCCTATACCTTACACTGCTACTACACCAACAGATTTCCTCCCTTTCCCCCGGGTTCCAGGGGAATTTGAGGGAAATTCAATGATGCCGCTAAATCAATTTTATTTGAAATTCCTAGGGATGTAGGCAGAGTGCAGGGAGGGAAGTGAGATTGTGCCAGGCAGGTGTTTGTAAATGAGAAACAAGGGACAGAAGCAGAGGAGACGGCAGCATTCTCCTGCTCTCCTGTGGCCTGGCTGCACTACAAGCCTTCCTCCCCATATTGTCTCCTGCTTTTATATTAATTACAACTTGTATTATCAGCTGCCAGTTGCTAACCCCAGCAAATAGAAAAGGCTGCCCCCAGAGACCACGCTTCTTTTGTATCTTATTCTCGATCTAGTCCTATTGTGTTTGTGTGTGTGTGTTTGTGTGTGTGTGTGTGTGCGTTCCCGCCTGCACATGTATGTGTGTTTGCTTGCTGGCGTTCTCCTCCTCCTCCTCCTCCTGGTAACACTGCTCTTTCACACAATTAGTGAAGAGCATGGAGTGAACCATGTTTGACTCCTAATTATGCCCAGCTTTAGGGAATAGTCACATGGGCTAAAGGCCTTTTTTTCCTCTTTTGCTTCTTCCTCTATTTCTTGTGTAGGTTGAAGAAGACTGTTTGGGTGACATGAATTTTTTTTTTCAACTTGTTTGAACTTTATCAGACCCACGAGGGTTGTGACAAAATGGTTGTGTGTGTTTGTGTTGCGCGGTGCGGTGTCTGTTGATGCACCCTCCATAGCTCAGAGAGGCCCACTAAATTATTCATGGGGAGGAAAGGCTGTTGCTTTTGTCGCCTTGTTGAGCGTGGAAAGTTAACGCTTTTGTTGTGGTATTTGTTGTCTTGTTTTGCAGACAGGGTTATGAATGAGAGGTGACTTGCAGGTATTAAAAGAGGAGAGTGTGCCTCATCAAAGATATCTACTGCGTATTCACTGGGCCAAGTATCCACTGTATTATTATGATTAGGTCATATAAAGTGCTGCGGTCTGCTTTTTACCCTATACGAAGCAAACTAACAAAGCTTTATCTATATCCTTGCATACAGGTCCATTAAACCCCACAGGGTAGCAAATCACAGCAAAATATCATTCCCTTTAACACCATTAGCTGAGGTGTCTTTGAATTTAATTTAGTGCCAGCACCATTAAAAATGACACATTACTCTGCAATGATAGCTAAATTAAGTCCTATCGATTCAGCTGTTGCATTAAAACCATGCTGTGGCCATTGCTGGCAAGTGTTACAGAGAGAGAGAGAGAGAGAGAGAACAAGAGAGCGAGACTGTGTGAGAGCAGCGAGCATAGTTTTTCAGGTCTGTCTCGCATCTTGCCGGCAGTGGGAGTCTCATTGTGAGGAAGTAGAACCCAGTCATTTTCTTCTCTGGGAACAACAACAGCCCGTTCGGAGAGCACCGAGCCCAGCTCTGCCTAAATACATTATGCACTCTGGGAGTCCTTGTGCCATTTGACAAAGACAAAATTAGACTGTTTTCTAAAGGGTTGATGTGCTTTTCCCACATGTTACTCAGCATACACTGTGTTGGGAATAACAGCAAATTACTATAACAACAGACCTTGTTCCCACAAAGAATACCGTGTGTTGATCAGTGGCCCAGTGAGTGATCGCGTCACGATCATCCATCCCTCTCAGACTAGGGACACTTTTCCCTCCGCTCATTCTGGAGGGTTAAAACCCACGCATGGGCTATTGTTCACCCTGTCTTCTTACCCCTCTTCTGGGTAATTCTCCGAGCTCTTTATCTGATTGCCATCCGGTGAACAGCTGACGCTGAGAGGGCCTTGAGTGGAGCGGAGGGTCTGAAGGGCCTTGTGTGTTTCTGTCTGCTGTTTTCAGCTCCGAGCTGTTTGAAAAAACAGCCCTCCTTCCCCAAAAAACTTAGCAGATAAAAGAGCCTCGCTCACAGGCATAGCAGCAGCCTCGCCTCCACAGCAGAACAAGCAGCAGCACATCAGGACAACGCACCCAGGGGAGCTCGCAGCCGCTTGTCTTATAGCCTCTGTTTCCCTGCAAACCTTTACTAGTCTCCAGGCTCTATCCTGTCTGTCCTCCACCAGTACAGCTCACTCTGACTGGGGCACCAGAGCAGGCAGGCAGGCTCCTCTCTGGCGGGAGCTGAGGGAAAAGAAGTTCATCAGGAACTCTACTGAAGTCAGACAAAATGGTAAAAACGGTCTCTTTCTTGGAATATTCTGCGGCGTGTACATTTTCCTTCTGCTTTCGTATGTATGTATATGTGTTTATGTGTGTTTGAGGGAGAAAAAAAACCCATAGCGGGAACTGAGAAGTGGGTTGAGGTTTGTGGGAAGCCTTGGTGCAGGCCTGTGTTTGTTTGGCTTGGGCTCTGCTCAAGGGGTTGATTCTCTTGGGCCCCAGACAACGTTGGGCTTACGTTCACCAACATTTTGTCATCGTGCTCAGGTGACAGGTTAAATTGGGAAAGACTAGCTAGGGTTTTGTGAGCTATGAAGCTGTATCAACTCTGTGTGAAAGGCTGTTTGGAGTGTGTACTTGATTGAGCCAGTGTATTTGCGGCCGCGAGCGTAGTAAATGACGTGATCAGTCTGTCCCTCTATTGCCTGAATGGCAGAGGAAATTCCACCTCTAGCCTGCCTTCATGTGGCACTGATAAAGCCTTTCCTGTACAGTAGAAAATCCTGTTTCCCTGTGTGCAGCAACAGGGCAGTGGGAATGACCAGGAAAGAGAGGAGGAGAAGGAGAGAAAATTAGCTTTAGAAGGAGGGAGGGAAAAAAGAAAGATGTCTTAAAAGCTATGAATTTGTTTATGGACATTTCTTTGAAGTTAGCCAGCAGAGATTTAACACTTTTTTTTCAGCATGTGTTTGTATATATAAAAGTGAGTGTGTGTGCATGTGTGTTTATACTTCTTGCTCTATTATGTCATTAGCATGTGTGCGTAAGTGTATTTCTGCAAGAGTCTGTGGGCGTGTGTGTATGTCAGTGTGGGCGTGTACACATTTTTGGCAGATTAGCAGGAGAATCACTGTCATATCTTATTTTCATTTCTGACAGTGGTAATGATTAATGGTGGCTGTGGTGTGTTTGGACTTTTTACCTCTATATTTCTCACTTGACACGGAAGTCTCAATTGGTTATGGTATAAACGAACTCCACTGGGCTCTGCCATATGTGTTTAGACAATTACTCACAAGTGCTCCACTTGCAACGTTCAAAATCAAACGCCACATTAACAGTGCTGCGTTTTGCTCTCATGCATTAATGAAACACTTTGATTACAGTGTTTTGACTTATTGCCAGCTGCTTTAGTGCATTCGTTTCTTTCTCCTCATCTATGATTTTAGTGGCATCGTTGATTGTCTGCTAGCTGGGAAATAGGCAGTGAGTCTCTTCGCCTTGCCAGGAGAATGTAAGCAGGCCAAGGACCCTCACAGTGCCTGTAGACTCTTACAGATGTCACTCTCACTTTTCCAAAATACTCACATGGTCTCTCTCTCTTTCTGTGTCTCTCCCTTTCTACCTTCCCCCTCCTCCCCTTCTCCCCCCTTCCTGCTCTCTCTGCTCCTGGTTTGCGGTTTGGACGGGGAATGTGGATGGATGCACGGATGGATGGATGGATCCCACGCTCGCTTTCTCTCTTTTCAAACCTCAGAACCCAGCTTCCTGGAGAGACCATGATGACGCCACCTCCACACACTCAGCCGGCACACCGGGGCCCTCCAGCGGGGGACACGCTTCACAGAGCGGTGACAACAGCAGCGAACAAGGTGAGCCAGCCCAGAAATGGGCATGCACATGCATATGCACACACGCTCCCGCACACACGCTCCCACACACACATATATACATGCATGCACTTGTGCACTCAAGCACTAACACATAAACATACAAAGATACAGGCACAGATCCATGCGGGACATATTAATCATCATGCATGAGTAGAATTGCCAACACTTCACTTTAACCCTGTCTAATGTGAGATCTACAGTGAATAGATGGCACATCTCTCTATACACATACATTCCAGTCCTTCTTCTTGCGCATTGGATTATCCTGCTTTTTGACTGCCGTCCATGTAAACACATAGTCACACCTAAAAATGAACACGCTTATCCACTGCTACACTCACACGCAGATACAAGCAACAGCCACTGTAATACACCAACCTAGTAAAGAGCTTTCCAAAATGTTGCTATTTAGAGAGCTGAACAAAAGCTGGTGATTAATAGTATATTTCTGCCAGTTCTTGTTTGCATTTAAACCATATTAACTTTGCTCGCACAACAGCCCCTAATTATGTCTCAGTGAGCCTTGTGTTATCTAGTACGTGACCTGCCAAACAGCAATAATGCATTTCAAAACAAGTGTATTCGAATTTATTACAGACAGCGTGTGTAAATCACAGCTATCTGCCTTGTATTTTCGTCACAGTCCATATCAATTTTGACATGTAAATCATGAGAAGCATATGCTATTAGTTAAATTCATAGGTGAGGCCAAGAATCAATATATTGCGAGGTTAAAATTGTTTATTAAATGAAACTGTTGCCTGTACTAAGAGAACAGATGATGAGCTCTTGGCCTTTCCTTTCTTGTTTTCCCCTTGTTTTGAATGTACCAAGATCTCCTTTCACTGGCAGCAGAGTATGTGTGTGTGTGTGTGTGTGTGTGTGTTTTTGTGGATCTGTTTCTGTATCCGTGTGTGCCCTCTGGCAGTGTCCGTGGCTTTGCATGAAATTTCATCACACCATCTACACACACAAATACACTCAAACGCTAAGATACACACTTATAAGAGCCCGCTCGCAGAGCGAAGCCGCTTGTTGTGTCCGTTCAAAGCTATCATTTTGCCGATAAGCGATCAAATGTATCGATGGGATGTGTGTCTGTGGTGGGGCTATTTAAATCATCTTCTCCTCTTCAGACAGAAGCAGCAGTTGCATCCTCTGAACCATTACTGACCACAGACTAAGGGCCGCAGCAGACCTCTGTGGTTGGCTATGTCAGGACTAGTTGGATCATAGGCTGTTGTCAGGCTAGTTGATGATAGCTAGGCTTTGGCTAAGCAACAGGATATGTCTGTTTGACAGTATAAGCATAGTGAAGTAATGGGGTGCAATAATATCACTTAATTGAACCTGATAGGAATAAATCTCCTTTTGCTTACCCCCCTCCGTGGTGAGCAGAGCAAAGGAACATTTACAGAACAGTCTCTTGCTCAAGGACACTCCATTCTCTTCCCTTCAGGATGAGCTCTTAGAGTGAACAAGCGTCTAAGCAAAATACATAAATAATAAGCAGTAAATTATGTGTTGGATTTTCTGGCATGCAAATAATAATATTAGTTAAAAACACTGTATGATTGTAGGTCAGAGGACAGGGCATAGGGAGACATTTTGCACTCATCTTTGCAATTGGAAGCAGCATGGGAGATGGAGACTGCAGCAACAACAGAGAAAGGAGGGGGGATGAGAGAAAGAAATGCACTGCCTATTGATTATCTTACACACATAAGTACAAGTGACCTGTAATCCACAGAGCACTTATCGACTCCTCTCCCCACCGTATCCAGTAACAGCGGATCAATACAGGCCAAAGACAGTTACGGTACAGCACCATGCACTGGGCCAATATAGACCTGGACTAGATCAGGGCCAGAGCCTGACCTGCACTAAAGAGTGCTAAATGCTAGATCCACCAGCTCAAAGCCTTTCATGGTAAAAAAAAAACCGAAGTAAGCAGAGTCAGGGATTTAAGGAAGGCGAAGGAAGCGCCATTGAAATACAGAGGTGAAAGAGTGGAGAAGGTGAAAAAGTAGGCAGAGTGAGAAAAAAAGAGAAAAGAGAGAGAGGGCAGCTGATTTAATGGTCTAATGAGGCCGTCCTCCAGCCAGTTGTTTTGTGTGAGGCATGCTCTGACCTTTCGCTCCGCTCGGGAGCCCCGCCGCCTCATTTTTCACATTCTTGCAATTACGTTAACGCTTGAAGCGCTCGCTGACTCCCGACTCTGGCCCTTCCATTCTGACAGAGCCTTCCCTCCCCAACCTCTCCACCTTTCCCTCCTCTCCTCCACTCCACAACACGCATGAACTCGCCTCCTATCTCAATACATTTCCACATAAAATTTGTAGTCCACACTCTCAAGTCCATAGAGAAAATGTGAAATGTGTGCTTCACTTCAGTAATGGGGTCTTTAACAGCTTGGCCCCTGTTAAAAGGGGTGACGATGTGGATCAGTCGAGGAAGACAGAATAGATGGGAGAGAGAGAGAGGGAGAGAGAGAGAAAGAGGAGGAGAGTGAGAAAAGAGTGCGCAAATCCCACAGTGCTTCTTGGTTTTAGCTGCCAAAAAAAACACTAACTTTCTTCCGCCATCTTCCATCTTGAAAGGTGTGTTGTACTTGTCCCTGTGGCTTGAAAAACATTTACCTCGAAAACTGATCCAGAAGCATCCCTGTGTTGAATATGTGACTCCCCTCAATTTCCCCCAGAAATGGTAAAGTGTTTCTGACAAGGACCAAGTCCAACTGTTTTGAGGAGTAAAAAGTTTTTCCGCATTGGCCAATGTTAGGGGATGTACAGTAGAATAAAGTTCAGTGTTTCTCACATATAGTTTTTTCAAAAAGTACTGTCTGTACCATACATGCACAGGATGCTGTGAGCAAAATTCACTTCCTCAATCTCCGGTTTGTGTCTCAGCATTGAGCATTGCTCTGAACCTGTGCCAAAAAACAATTTAACAAGTGCGCAAATATATATTGCCCCTCTTGTGGAATAATTTATTGTCAAGCAGTAAACCAAGGTGAAGCATGCTCATAGCTGTCAGTAAATATTGCCAGTTAAGGTTCTGACACAGACTGAAAAAGGTTTCAGTACAATACTCTGATCTTCAACCTCTCTCCCTCCTCGTTCTTAACAGATTTTTTTTTAGTTTTCTCAGAATTTCGCTCCAAAAAAAGAAAATATGAATTATCACCCTCAGGGCAAATTCTTCACTCTCACTTACTGACTCTTAGAGAGTGACTCCCTATGTTCTGGCTAGATAAACAAATATCAGCAGTTAACGGGAGATGGTTCAGAACGTAACACACAATAACTTCATTGGCCCCTGCTTGCACATCATTTTGATTAACAGTCCTTTGGAAGTCCTCCAAGCTTATCTAGAAACATCGGAGACATCAGTTGCAGGGAGTTAAACTTGATGAATGTGCGTGCCTTAAGATAGCACTCGTTTCCAAGCCGCTGTCCGTAATATGTTAAACACCCAAGGTGTGATGGAGCAGCGTGATGAAATACTGCACATTTGCCCACACCAAACATAGTAGAGTCAAATGCACTCAGTCATGTACTGTAAATCCCCAACACTGATTCAACACGGTAGGTAACGTTTTTCCCCTCTTGCTGTTCATGCGTGCATCTGACTGCATGTGCATGCCTCAGCTCCAGTCCACACTTGTAATTATTAGCTATGCATGAAGACCAAATCCACGTTGACATCTTGAGTGGTGAGCAAAGGGGCTTTCTGTACAATTCCCTGATTCTACGGTAGATGGAAAAGGCTCAACAGAGGAGAGGAGAAAGCATTTTGTACATTTTCTCAGCAATTGAACAATCCCCATGCTCTGTGGATAGACAGACTCCCCAGAGAGACTGAGAGAGGCAGAAATGGAGAGAAAGGGAGGAAGAGAGGGAGAGCTTGAGTGTTCGCCTCCAAGGGAGCATGCTGCGCTTGATGGTATTGTGGTACATTTGTGTGTGTGGTGTGTGTGTTGGGTGTGTGTGTGTGGGTGTGTGTTGTTATGTGTGTATATGTGTGTATGCGTGGGGAGTGTGGTGAGCTCCCTTGGCCCTGGCCAGGGGCCCCACTCAGCAAGGTCTTTGTGGTTGAGCTCACTAGAGGGGGGTCATTCCTGGTGTGGACACGACTCCCTGTGTCCGCCCAGACAGCCCCAGCATGAACATGGCCTGTTGAATCTGGCATTTTCCGGACATTTGGCTTTGCTTTTTTTTTTTTTTTTACAGCTACACTTAGGACTCAAGTAGACCCAAAACTGAGGGAGGAGAAAGAAAGAAAACAAAATGTAACCACAACAGAAAGAACAGCTGAGTCTGTGCTAAACGCAAGATGGAAGCCTTGTTGCGTATTAGTAGCCTATACTCCGGCACTGGAGTGATCAGCGAGGTGTGTCCGTGTATATAAAATACACAGTGTGTGTGTATGTGTGGGCATGCATGTGCGTCTGTTAGCTGGTTCCCTCTAAGTGCCTGTTAGAGTTTAATTTAGTGTAGTAATTAAAGCTGAACACTGGCCCATAAACAACAGATAAACAATAAAGCAGACCCAAGCCCTGCTGTTTCATTGCTCTCACTCCCAGCTGTTGGAGCACTGATAATTTTTACACAGTGCCCCCACCTCACCACACCACAATGCTGAAGCAACAAGGGTTTGTATGTGTAAATGTGTGCTTGCGTATATTTTAGTGTGTGATGGCAGAGGCGGAACACAAAAAAAAGGCCAAAGAAACATAAACACACAGGATATGTCCACTTCCCTTCTCGAAAGAAAACAGAGAACCACAGTGAAGCAATCAGAAAGTGTAAGAGGAGTAGTCTGCCTCAGTAGCCACCTACTTACAAAGCCAGCTCAATGGCAACAGCCATCACATAAACATTAAACCAAGAACAGCCTTGATGTGCATTCAACCTATAACTTCCAATATCTCAGTGGCAGCAAGCAGAGGTTAACTGCACTTAAACAGAAAACAAGCT